GTCATCATTTCCAATTCGCTGTCATTTCAGGTATCCACAGACGACATGAAGTTTTGGGTAGCACGTGACGACAGGGTGCCTGTCTATGCTGATGAATTCACAGAGATTTTTAACCAGCAGGTACCTTATTACTGCTTTTTATAATTATTCACAATCTCAACTCAACCCCAGGAATGGGCTGTTAGGGTACATTAGCTTCAATTGTCGATATCCCTCTCTCTTTCAGAAATCGCTTTTCCAACAAAACCAGTATCAACAAGCCCTCACGAACATTATGCAGAAAACTTGGTGAGAAATTAAAATTTTTCTTTTCCCGTCGAAACCGCCTTGCTTGACTTCAAAGGTGTGGGACCATCCTGTCACGGGGCAGGCCTGACTTAAACTAGGAGGCCAATTCATGGCCTGTCGTGTTTGTTGTTCCGTAGTGTTGTCAGTCGGGCATGGCGGGGTCTTTTCAAGATCTTCATTGAGAGAATGAAGGCTGCTAATGAGGGATACGGGAGCTCCACAACAGCCATTTATGTGTTGCATGGGATTCCTGGGCGTCGCAAACGATCAGGTTTTGTAGTGGTCCTCGAGAAACGAAGGAGTTTTACCATTCAGTACAAAGTCCTGGGCCCATTTATCCCTCGCCTACGTGTAAGCAAGCATACAAGCAATAAACAGTACATATAAGTGGTATGGCACACTTAGGCTCTGATGAACGGGGTAGCGAAATGAAAAAGGGCCATCATGACTTACTACTTACCAGTTTTTTCTTCCCTCCGTTTTCTCTTTCCGGAGTGTGCTTATATTCACACTCATATTTCCCTTGAATCTAGGCACTTTTTGTAAAGAGTCGTCCTCAGTGATCCTAAATTAGTGTAAATTTCTGGTAGCGGTTTCATACATATAAAGCAATGATCCGAATGGCCATTTCTGACAGTGAATCTATATTAAGGTCCCATATTAATGTCCACTTAACCATGTTCTGATTTGCTCAGTCAAACCATACAAGCCTATTATCTTCATTTTCGGACATAACGTTTTCCAGGGAAAAGGCTCTCTCGAAGCAAGGAGCGCCTAGTAGACCCAGCGGTGGTCGTGGAATGGGAGGCGGTGGGCAGCCTGCACCCGGCTTTGGAATGGATTCTGACGGCGGAAAAATGGGAGGTTGGTTTGCTATTGATTGAATCGCTCCTTTGCATTTTTGGATCTTTTTCTCCGTAAGTACCTTCTCCTTTCAGGCGGAGGTTTTAAAGCGCCATCTATCCCGGGCTGGTTTTGGTTTGCGCTTGTGGGCATTATTATCCCTCTGTTGTGCTGCTGTTGCTGCATCTACTGTTGCTGTTGCCGCGGAAAAGGCGGTGGTGGAGGGCGAACGAGTGTTCCAACCACTGATGGTAAGCTCAGTCAAACTTTCCTTCGTTATTGAAGCCTTTCTCTAAAAACAATATATTCAGGCGGAATGGGTGGAGGTATGGGCGGTGGAGGTATGGGTGGTGGCGGTCGACCTGGCGGAGGAGGCTCAATGTTCCGGAACATCGCAAGCAGCATGGGTGGAGCAGGAATAGGATCCATTCTCGGAAACCTCATTTCAGGACGACGTACGTTGACAACTCGTAGTTGTTTTGTATTTGAATTAAGTTGTATTTTGTTTTTATAAATATTCAGAATTGTTTCAGGTGGTGGTGGACGAGGAATGGGAGGAATGGGCGGTGGTGGAATGGGAATGGGCGGTTATGGAGGAGGCGGCTATGGTGGAGGTGACTACCAAGGTTCTTTATCGAGCTTCTCCTCGTCGTGTCGTGCTTTGGACTGAAAAAAAGAAAAAAGACAATTGAAAAGAAAATTCGTGCCCTAATATTTCCCTGAGGTGTAGAATGTGATTTGGCCTATCGATACTGGGCTAATGATTCGGGGCAACGCCCCAGTAAATTCAATAGTAGGGAGAAATTTTTATCAGTATCCGGTAAAACTTCTGTTTATCCTCCCGACGATGGGAACAAACTTATGCATCCTCTTTAGAGGTGCCTATAATAATTAGTGATGCAGATGCTGGTCTTTGTTCATTTCAGACTTTAGCACCTTTTGTCACATGCCAGCCTTCAGGGTGACTTACCAATTGAGACCCCCAGTTAGGGGCTGTTCTTGACAAGAACAAAGCAATCAGAACTTCCATGTTCGTTCCTCTCGAAACCGTTTTTTTTTT